GACATGCAAGTGTGGACCAGCAACCCAATTCACACAGACAAAAGAAAAGGAGAAAACACAAACGCACAAACCAAAACAAACATCCATTCCTACATCTTCCATAGTATGCATTTTTGTGCTCTTTGGAAAATTTCCTGTAATTTCCGAATGTGGCAGATTTTATTGTTGTCGAACGATTTTTGCATTTTCAACATTTTCCTATGTTTTATCCACCTTGGGGGCCGCTCTTAAGCCAATTCTGAGTTCAGAGAATCCCCTGACCGCATTGACCTATAGATGCACACCGTTTTTGTTTGCAAGCAATTGTTGTCAGGCAGGTGTTGATGTTTTTGTCAAAGCCACATTACGTGAGAATTCGATCAAATTTCAGAGCCTCTTCAGATAGAGAGAAAGAGAGAGGGCCGCCTTTGACAATCGACTTTGATGGGAAAAAACGAATTTGTCACTCAATGGGCTTAGGGCAGGTGCACACCTTAAATCACAAGGAAAGAAGGCTTCTACATGCAGTTGTTCTCGCTGATAGCAAATCCAATTTGATTCAAAGAGTTGAATCACCACAGCAAATCACATAATCTGGAAAGACACGCAGAACCAGCCACAGCAATCCGCAACATGGGTATTTAATGTGAAATCCGCATTTCTTCTTGAAATCTGAAACCGTTGTTTTTGGTAAGGTCCCCGCGAGGGCGTCGCGGAGTGTTGTCATTTTTTCATGTTTGCGTCACTGTCGAAGCATCCATGTCATCTCACGTGCTTCCTTGTTTTCGTGTGCGTCGTTGCATTTTCCGCGCGTTTTGCTGTGTTTCTTGACGCTGTTGCGTTTATAGTTGCGTGTTGGCATGCCAGGGTTTGTTCGGGGATTTTTTTTTTTTTTTTGGGGTTTTTTGGGGTTGGGGTTTTGGGTTTTTGGGGGGGAAGATGATAACGTTCTTGTTTATTAACGTTCCTGCATGTGCGTTCTTGACACGCTGTTCATTTGTTTGTGCGGCATGTACTTCAAGAGTTTACTAGAAAATTGAAACGCAAACCATGGAGAGCTAGCAAAATTGCTGGCACGCAGAAAGCAGATTCTTCTTGGAAGAGCATCAAGAAATGGATTCCAGACACCTTGGAATCTACTGGTCGCTTGTGCAGACGAGTCAGCCCACAATTGCTGCAGTACATCCGAAGTTGGCAGTGGCGATCTCAAGAAAAGAACGACTGTGTCTCACACCTGTCCAAAGCTTTGAAAGCAATGTATGCGCGATGAGGTTAAAAAAAAGTTACTTCGGAGACCCCTCTTGGAAGATGCATTTTTAAAACCTTCACGAAATGCAGGTTTTAAAGGCGTTGTGTGTTCAAAAACGCACGACGCCTAGGAGGGGACCTTCCCTTGTTTTTTGCCATCGAAAAAGCGTTGTTTGCCGTCGAAAGTGCGTTTTTCTTTTTTTTTTGTGATATTTGAAAAAAAGTGGGGCGATCAGAATGGTGAACACCTGCCTTGATGAAGGATATATAGTCTGAATATACACGATCACACAAATTGCTACTGGAACATGCCTAGTCTGAACTGCTTGAGATGGATAACTACTGCAATGTTGAAGCGAAGACATGTTTGTACGCTGCTAAAGCCAGACAGTCAAAGTACTTTGCAGGGGAGATTCTTGTAAACCTGTCGGTGTTGATTCAATTGGGGCGGGTTGGTGTGAAATTGCTGGAAGTTGGCAACAAAAGAGTAGAATAAGAGTGGACAAAATCAGCAGTGAAACAGGGAGGAGTAGGAACCAAAGACAAAGCGAAAGCCAAGAAGCTTAAGTAACGCAATTGCACAAGGGACAAAGCATGTGTGCGTTCTCAAGTTGAAAGAATCCAGCGTTGCGTAGAGGTGACACCTGTGATACTTGCAAGCAGATTGGATTCAGTTGATAGACCCCGGTTGACATGTGAAACGGCAATAATTTTGAAATCGAGCGTCTTTTTCGAGAAGTGGCGATAGTTTCTTTAGTTACAAGATCGAGCGATAATTTTACACTAGCGGGGGTTGTAGGTTGGGTCGTATCGCCTGTGGACAGCCACAATGTACACTTTACAGCGGCTAGAGGTTGGTAGTCAGGCAAATACGAGCTGGTGGGAAAAAATCACAGCACCTCAAAATGTAAAATGTGTCCTAAAATTCTCCTAAAAGGGGTTCAAAAAGACCAATTTAGGACACCTATTTTTTTGATTCCATTCTTTGTGGAAGGCTTTAGCACTACCTGAGCAATCCTTGATACACTTAAAAACACACCCCCATCTATATCTACAGGCAATCGGATAGACAGAAAACTCGCAAGAAAAAAACGGGGCGGCGGATTCGACATTCGGATTGTTTTGGAGGGGGTTGGGGAACAGGATACAAATTTTGACATCTTGGATACTCGAGGATAAATACGGCTGAAGTTCATAGGCTGAGGGGCCGGGGGACAAGGATTTTGTTTTTCATGGATTCTTGATGCAGTATGGATATTATAGCCAACATCTCCAAGTTTTTACATCATTGATTTTCTAGTTGATAGGCTGGAACCCGAGGACATAATTTGATTTCGGATTTTTTCCAAGGAGTGAACCTCCCTGGGCGGTCCAAAGAGGTATCTTTTTTTTTGCGTTTAACGCATGTCATGGCCCAATCCCCAAAACAATAAGCCAACCATCATGGTACCCCGGCAAATAAGAAGGATTTGGTTTCCCTACGAGGGGAGGGCCCATTTCATTGTCCGATACATTGAGAACCCATGCAATGTACCCAGCGGGTGGCCATATCACCGCCAAGAGCCGAGGAACGGGCACAGAGGTGTTACACGAAAGCTGGATTCAAACACGAGTTAAGCAGAAGCGCCCTATGGGGAAACGAAGGGCATCACGCATCACAATGGCAGAAATGGACGAAGGTGCCAACTTGGTCAATGGGAGTCCCAACAGACAAGTTAACCAACATTGGAAATAGTAGGGATGCAGAATGATTCGGATTTTTTGTTTGGCATCCCTGTGACTTTCATTTTTTGTGTTCGAACATGTGGAAAATTCTGGCTGACAAGTGGGAAAATTGGTGATCACACGCAACTGAATGCGCTAGGTCTTGTGTCATTTTGTGTTTGTTTGATCATGTATTGTTTTGACCTGCAATGTTTTCTTTGACTCCTCACAGACTCAATTTCTTTGTCTCTACGATGCATTGCAATAGTTTGAACCCCGCAGCTCTTCAGGATGTGGGATAGATTTTGGGCCTTGCCAAGGTGCACAAATATGCCTTGGACAAGAATAAGAAGTCCCCGGTGGCGCAATAGAGTTGCTTTTGGTGGCCAGCATAGATGCTGGGAAGTCCCCAGGATACGCCTCCGGACACTACAGGTCATCGGTAGCCAAAGTCGCTACTTGAGCCTTGCGCACAGTACATGCAAAAACTGGTCCTGATGTGGAGTTGGGACAGCTCGTATATTCATAGTATTGCTGAAATTTGTTGACTTGCCATCATCCTTCATGCGAAACGTTTCGACAATTAAACTCAAGCGAAGCAACGATTCAATTTGTTATGGATGGTTTGATTTGGACAGGCAGGGCGAATGGCGGTGCCCAGGGCTTTGACCGCACAAAAAATGAAACTCGAAACATATATAGGCTCAATTCAAATTTTATGTCCCAGTTCTTGTGGGGTAACTGTCCGTTCTAGCGGTTGATCAGTTTTTTGAAAGTTGAAATCACATTTTTGGTGGACAAGATGGTGCTCAGGTGGTCTTCCACGAAGCCTCTGGAGAGTTTCGATATATATATATATATTTAATTTAAAAATATTATAAGATATTTTTAGATATATATATATATAATTATTTATAATAAAATATTTTTAGTTATATATACATATATATATATATATATTACTATTATTTATTTATATTATATCACATTGTTTTGATTTTTTTAATGATATTATATTTTGTTTTATTACATATTACCATATTATATTTTGTTTTATTACATATTACTAAACTATATTGTGTTATATTGTGATATATTACATTATATTAAAATTTGTGTTATATGTTATTTTATTATATCTTAAATTTTATTATGTACGATATGTTATTGTATTATTGTGCGTTTATATATATATATATATGTATTCTAACTAAGATCACCAAGAAAACCTACGATTTTTCCGCTGAGGTGCTACATTTGAAGATAGAACTGATTCAAACTGAGTGTGTGACTTGTAGAGCCAGACCGTGGGAAATCTACGGAAATCGGCGCTTGACCTACCCCCATACCAAACCCAACCGGATAATTTCTGGTTGGAAGTTTCAAGTGTTTGACACGGTGTTTGTTTCCATCCTACCGGCGATGATGATGCGCATTGCCTATAATTTTGGGGATGGGTCAGCCAATCAGATTGGATTGCCATATGTGTGGTGCTGTTTGCGCAGAATACTGAGCGTGCCTCGATTTTCCATGCAGCCCCCGCAGGCTGTAGTAGTCGTGGAGCACGCAGTCTTGGACGGAAAGACGTCAGTCAGTGCTGCGGCGTGATGGAGATTCATGCTGGGGTTGACATAATTCGCATACAATTACGCAGACAATTACATTGATCCTGTTTAATCCCAAAGAGCACGCAGATGGAAGTGAATGATACAAACTCACCACGATTACCCCGTAGGTGGTGGTTTACACGGAAATTCATCCCACAAGAGGGTTATCTGAGTTATTTGGTTTTTCAGGTTGGAGAAGTATTCTGGTTTGCCTGGAGACATGTGTCACATGGTGTTTCGTGCTGACACAATGTGCATTTCCTTTGGCAAAGACGACAGTCAATGACATCCCAAAGATGTGCGTCGAAACTGCTTCCAGACTCAGTTTTACAATGTTTTACATCAAGTTTGTCCAATACATTCATACATTCTCGAATTCTCTACGATACTTTTCTGCTGTTTGTCTTCCAATTCATTTTTTTCCACGCTTTGTGGGATGATTCCAGCTGATTTCGGCTTCGTGGAGCCGGAGCATGCCGAGCATGCCGGAGCGGGACGTGGATCCACGGCGGGCCATGCAGAGCCGTTTCTTTGCAGCACAAGAGGCCGGCGGAGTTTTCAGATTTTTCGGTCACCGTGTGATTTCCGAATAATGTGGAGCCAAGGATCCCAACCCTATGATAGAGTTCAGTATGTCTATAGAGTCATTTATAAATTATATATATACATATATATGTGAAATTAGATGATTTCAGATGACTTTGGGATGATTCCGGTCAAGTTAAGATTATTAAGATTTTTTGGACAACTTGGCCTGTTTTGAGAGACCGTGGAGTTTGTCCTAGATGACCACTCCATGATGCTGCTGAGTTTGGGTCAGCAATCCCTGGAAGGGAGTAAACCTGGAAACTGTTTGGCAATTTGAAGTTCTGATGGGGGTACTTGGCTGATTGTAGTTGGAAATGTGTTTTGATGTGTTTTGCTTTCCACCTTTTTGGATGAGCAATCTTCAAATCCATCCCCTCCAAAATGGCACAAGCACTTTATACATATGGGTCGGTTCACCACGAAGCACTGAGAAATATGTGCAGCTTCGATTCAAAGAATTCCATGGGACACCCATGGCTCGCAGGAACACCCAGAAGTGCCACCAGAGGATGGTTCTGATGAGGTGCAACTACTGTTTTCAGTGCCCATCGAAAAAGTGCGTAAATAAACAAGAAAACCCAAAAGGGACAGTGAGGGATGACTTTCACTTCTACCTGTAATGTGTTGTACTGTGCTAGTGCTGTATGAATATGCATGTGTATATATATATATTGCACCCCACATCAATAAACTATATGTGCACAGCCTAGCCATGCTGATTCCAAGAATCACATTCGTGTTGTACTGCTTGTTTGGACAAAACATTGATATTGAGACACGTTTCCAGCAGCATATGTTATAGATCAGATACATGAAAATAAATGCATAAATTCGCATAAACTAATCAGACAGTTAGATAGAGAGACGGTTTAAATCACATACATCTTCGATGGCATGTGTTATGTGGATAATCAGATAATCGTTTGCATCTCTGCGCTTACTCTACATCCGCCTTTTCTTACTGTACTACCAGAAACGGTTTTGCCAAGGTAACTGGAAGATCTGGAAGGATCAATTCTGCCAGCAAATGCAGGTGATAGTGGCCTCCTATTTGTTTTTTCCATATTGAATTTGGGCAAACCTCCAATCGGTGTTGCGTAAATTATGTTAAGCTCCTACCGTATTTGTTGTTGTCTTTTATGTTTGTTTCTACGTTGTCTACCCAACAGTCGATACTTTCTGCCCATATGTTGTTCTGGTCGACCCTTCAAATGTGGGTGTATAGAATATAAACGTATATCGTACAATATATCAATATATCAATATATCATAATAGATCCCAATCTACCGTTCCATAACAGCCAGGGTCCATCCCTGCAGCAGGTGGCGATGGCGCAGGCCTTAGCGAACCTTTGCAGCCTTGCACAGGCCCGGCGGCCCCTGGAAAGTGATGGATGTGGTGGAGTCGGTTGGCCGAGTAGTAAAATGGAAGAACGGGGAACAATGTGCTGACCAAGTGTTCGAGTTTTGAAGCGATTGGGCTCCCACAAAGGGATTGACCAGACACCCACCAGACGGCCAATTCCGCGTAAGCCTCACAAACATATTTCAAAGTAGAAGCTAACGTATCCAGACAAGTCTAGAAAAATTCGACCCAGCTATGCCACCGGTGTCCCCCGCTGCAATAGGCCAGAAGCAGGGGCGAAGAACGTTCGGAACCACAGCCGGCACAGTCCATGCTTACCTTTTGGTCAGATGTGCTAGAGCAGCTGGTGTTGGAAGATAATCCTTTCCCATTTGGAAGTTAAATGTGGATATACTTAAAGGTTTGGTTGTTTCTTGTGCAGGATCATTGGACATATTAAACATGATTAAGCAGTGATTATTAAATCTAGGGCTGGAAGACGTCAGTTCCAACTGTTTAACACTTTGTGATGCTTAAACATCACTTCGTTAAGTCCTCGTGTTTGCAATGTTTTGTTGGTTGAATCTCCATTTTTCCAGCAAGTCGCAGATCGAAGCCCACTGTTTACAGATAATAATATATTCAGTTGAACAACATGTTCTATTTTTTATGCAGTTGAGTCCCCATTTGTTTTCATTGTACAACCAGTTGAACCTCCATATGTTCAGTTATTGTATGGTTATCATCGGTTCCAACATCTTTTCCCATCATCTTTGTTGGTTCAGACCCATAAATCCGTAGAAAAGCCATGGAAATCCCTCCATTTTTGTCGGTTGCCGAAGCCCAGAGGCCTCCGTGCGGCCAGGGAATTGCTGCAGAAGATCCAGGTGGCCACTCCCACGGCACAGGCGGAGCTGAAGGTTTCACGAAAATGGTGGGATAACGGTGTTTGAATGTGTTTAATATATTTGCGTTTATAATGTTATAATGGTGGGATACCAACCATGTTTGATACCAAATATTTGTTTAATGGTGGGATACCAACAATAGTGGTTTGATGATTATTTGCGTTTAAGATATTTGAACCAGGAAAAATGCTGGTACAATGGTGATTCAAAGTTTTTTCTGGGATATATACCCAACAAAAAGATAATTACAAAAATGGATTTAATGGGGAATGCGACTACTTGATGTTGAATTTCCATGAACTTCCCCAAGATTCAAAATTTAGCAATTGGGAAATTGGATAGTTGTGAAAAATCATTTCAAGAGTTAGGAAATTTGAAAAATAGAAAACGGAATTGAACGACTATTTTTTCTACATAGGGTCAATCTATTATGATGTAAGGGAAATCTACTGTTTTGGTGGACCTCTTATATAAGAAAATCAAACTAAGGTTTCTTAGTTTGAATCCAATCTTCATTGTTGGTCATACCCTCTGGTAATTTAACATAGCTATTGAAAATCACCTTTTTTAATGGAAAAACTCACTATTTCAATGGCCATTTTCAATAGCTATTTTGACATAACCAGGAGGGTATTCCCCATAGTCCAACTTACCCCCCAAAAAAACGCCCAAAGGCCTCGCTGCGTGTCCTGTGGACAGAGCTGAAGAGCTTGAGACGATGCAGATCCACCAAGGAGGAGGCCGGGAGCTGGAACAAACATGGGGAAAGCAGGAAAGCTGGTGTTGACATGCGGTTAAATGATGGTTAAATCATGGTTAAATGATGTTTGAATCATGGTTAAATGCTGGTTAAGTGAAGATAATGATGGCTTCAAGGATGCGTTCGATGATGTAAACAGTGAATAGGACCTGGTAGATGTGGTGGAAGCATCCTTCTATGTCTCTCTTTTTTGGGAGAGCTGGTGGCTCGAATACGTTTTGGGTGTTGAACATCCATGTGAAAATATCATGTATGACTCATGAATTGTGGATTTGGGGATGTTCAAAGATCCTTAGATGGTTGAAAATACATAGATAAATAATGGATCGTTGAGAAAAGTGACATCATTGAACATTTGGTATGAGTGCTCCTTTCACATCCCTCAGCTGGCCATCATGGTTGGCCAATCATGGTGAGCCGAAATTCCCAAACATGACCTTATTAAATGATCCTAAAAAAACAGTTTATCCTCAATAGATCTCAATAGTCCAGACATCCCTAGATATCCCAGGTACATGAAAAGTTATATGAGTCGCATCAAATATAGCCATTGTCTATTTTGATCAACGGATATGAATGATATGAGTGGCATAGCCGCTATAGCCATTGTCTAAGGATCACCAGGTCCGGTCCTTATTTCGTTCGAGGCCTTGAAGCTCCAGCTGCTTGTGGCCGAACGCGCCCGTGCGGCCGTCGGTTGGACCTTGCGGAGCCGAGGTGAGACGAGTTTTCGCCACGAGTTGGGCAGCCATGGATCTACCATGGATCAGCCATGGGGATTTGGGGATTTATATTGTGCTTATTATATAATTAATATATACATATATATAATAATATTAATAATAGTAATAATAATAATGATAACAATAATAGTAATGATAATAATAATAACAATAATAATAATATATGACACATTAATAATATATGTTTAATGGATGAATGATGACCTCATTGCGACATTACTGGAATCATGGTTAGTATGGGAAACGATTCCAAAGTAGCCTTGTTTCAGTTTAGGGAATGCTGATTTTTCAGCCAGAGATATGATCAAGTATTGATTGTAATGATATTGATGGCAAGCTTAAATTGTAGTGCTTAATTTTGTTAAGCTGTTATATAGTTTTAAGTAATTGCGATGATAAACTTCTCTGAGTAGTCTTTTTGAGAGTTACTGTGCCAACCGATATTTGTCAACAATGAACAGGTCTTGAGCTTTGACACCAGAGTCGGTGTGCTTGTTGGAAAAGGTCATGTCTGGAGATATTCGTGCCTGTGATACCCATTTCTTGGCCGATACCTATGTTGGATGATGCTAAGCCTTTGGCCATCCCATTGTTACAATGTTACACTTTTGCCTGGTTGTTTGGCATGGACATGAACAAGTCACAACGTCTCTGTTTCCCTCATCTTTTTGATACTCAAGACTGGGAGCCCCGTGCAGAACAATCCTGGTGTTTCATCAGCGCAATCAATGGAGGTGCAAAGAAATCACCCAAAGAGTCCGTTGAGGCCTCGTACGGCAGTTGGGCAATGGATGGTGGAGTGGGCATTTTATGACATCTTGTAAGCGACTAGCGGCGACTGACACTTTTTTGGAAGCTTCCTAGAAATTGAGGCCCCTGAAATCCAGAAAATGAATAAAAACGGAATGTATTGGATTGTATTGGTATGATTTGGTATTTTTTTTTTGGCGAAGATACTATGAACTGCTGTTTGTTTGGACGCACCTTTTCTGGATTGGCTTCCCAGTTTATGGGTCACAAACCACAAGCCTTGCAGAACGACAGAGAGAGTTTGACACAGTGTGCTGAAATCAATTTTGCAGCCCAACGAAGCTGATTTCTCGAAAAAACTCCGCGAA